CTGCACATGCCTATCTTCATTTTAAGTAACAAAATTCAATGTAATGTTCAAACATCCCATGATACCTCTGGAAATTATTAAACTTTAATTAATTATGATCACATAACATCTCATCGTAATAATTAAATTTTTGTTTATGTGTAATTTAGTGGAAAAAGTTCTTGCATGTACCAATATATGTCTACAGGATCAAGCATTATAGAAAGCCTCAAATATAGATTATGACTAGGTTCAAAGCACATAATCAAGCTTATTGGATTGATAAACATATGAAATAAAAATAGTTGTTAACTATAATCAAAATCATCAAATATAATACTCCATTGTAAACTTCAATGCTTCAAATTCTTAGTACAAATCTAAATTAAACCCACAGTAGGCACCAAAGTATATAACCCTTTAGTTGAAATGACACAAATTTACATTGCAGGTGTTTGAAATAAATCTCAAGTTTCAATATTTCCAACCGTTAAAAACGCTTACTCTTTTATTTACTTGATTCAATCATTCAATCAATTACAGCTCAAATATAAATTTTAGAAAATAAATGAATTGTCAAAATATAGTAAAAATACAAAATTTACAATCATTGTGTTAGTCCATCAATTATTTATCTTATTTAACTATACCACCGAACCAAAATAACAAAATAAATAATTAGTATTCCTAATTGTGGTGTCTCTTTTAAATCCTTTGACAACCATTGAAATAGTAATTTATAAATTCAATTATCTAATATATATCACTGCAATCTTACCTAGGCTGTTAACAATTACATATATTTTTTCAGCACAAAAAACACGTCTGACCAACAACCCCAACATTGCCGATGACGGCTCAATAAACAAAAGTCAAAATAAAATTTTGGAATAGAAATAAGTACAAATGAAAGCTCTCGATTGAAGAATTTGTTTCCACAACATTAAAATTAAAAACTATTAAGAATACCCAAACAATTTTCATTATCAGATGCATGGCCACAGTTAACCCTAAATCCAAATGAAAATTCACAAATTAATTATTTTATACTCTCATTATCATTTTTCCCCCAACAAGGCAAGAACACAAATTGAACACTAAATTTATATTCCAAACTCAGACCTTGCAAACGAACAAAACTACAAGGAAAGCTTCAGGCAATTGGTCTAAACTCGTATACCCATTAAATATACGAAATAATGTCTACAAGAAAGATTATTCAAAAATCCACTAAAGAACTTAAAAATTGATTTTCATAGCTACGAAATAAAATACCTAGTTTTAACTTACCGTTCGATAAAGCGATAAAGTGGGAACAACCACACAAGTTTCGATCAGGCAACCGTAAAGCAGAGGCCGGAATAAAGTGTTGGGTCTATTTGTATATTATATATATATTGGGAAACTGTTAACAAAGTTTGATTTTTTTTTTAATTATTTTTAAATTTTTTAAGTATTTTAAATATTTTATATATTTTTTTAATTTTTTATTTATAATTATAATATTGACTTTTTGTTACGGTTTGATATACATAACAAATATAAATATGACAGCAACTCGTTATATTTGTAGTTGTTACGGAATAACTATCGAAACAAATAATAAAAAAAGTTGACCAATACAATTTTTTTAGAACAAAAACGTAACAAAAACCACTTTTTGTAACAAAACTATTGTCGTGGATTCAATTTTGCCATTTTTACGGTAGTGTAATAATATATTTATATTATTTATATATTAATATAATATGTAATTTTATATCAAATTTTATATTTATTATTAAAATTTAAATATTTTATTGTAAAAAATTATGAATATAATTAAATATATTTAATTTATATATTAAAAAATATATAGTATATGTATATTAAATCGGACGAGTCGAGCTCAAACTTGAATTTAAGCCTAACAAACCAACCTCGAGGCACTATTTTGACTCGAACTCTTAACGAATCAAGCCTGTACCATTAACAAGTTCGAGTCGAACTCGAACAACCAATGTTCGAGCTCGTTCAGCTCATTTAACAGCTCTAATTATGTGTTTATAAATATTTTGTACTATTAAAAAAAATTATCTAAAAAATATTGCATTAAAAAATTATACTTCCTCTCTCCGGATATTTTAGTCAATTCTTATTATTATCCGCAAATTTATAAATAATTTATTTATAGTTAATAATTCGATGTACTTATACTTTTAGGGTGTGTTTGGTGCTAAGAAGTCTCATTTCTCTTGTTTGTTTTAGTTAGAGAAATGAAACTTCAGAGATAAATCATTTTCATTTCTCTGTTTTCATTTCTCTCATATCCTATATGCAGATAAATAGAGAGAAATGATATAGCGGTATTTATATTTTTAAATTTTTTAAAATCTTTTTTTACTATCTAATTTTCATATATATATTTTTTAATATATTATTTTAATTTTACAAAAATCAAATTTAATTTATTGTTATAGTATTTAAGTTTTACGATTTTTTAGAAAAATATACTAAAATATAAAATATTGTATATAATTTATAATTTTTCAAAAAAAAAAGTCACCAAAAATATTTTTTATGAATTTTCATTAGTTATAACTCTTTTTTTTTATCCAATTAATCATTTATTCTTATTTGATTTATTCATATTTTATACATTTCTCAATTGAATTCTCTATTTTACCAAACAAACAAGAGAATTAATTCACATTCTCTACTCAATTTTATTTCTCTCCGATTCCATTCTCTATTCTTATTTATCTGCAATTTCATTCTCTATACCAAACGTGACTTATTATTTTATTTTAGAACGTAATAATCAATTTATCTTTACTTTTCTCTGCTTAATATATTATTTGTTTATATTTTTTTAATAATTATTCTATAATAACCTTAGTATATTACTTGTTTATATTATTTTGTATATACCATATTCTTATATTAAAGTATTATAATTTATTAATCTTTGTGCCCTAATAATATAATGTAAAAGCCCGGACGAATTATTTCATTTATAGCAATGCATTCAAAAGTAACGTCTATTCAAAACATTATCTTCAATATCTTTCAATATCACAAATAGATGCCATAATAATACACGTTAGATTTAATATTTTGAATAAATAAGTATATTTTAATTTTTTTAAATAAGTATATTTTAATTTTTTTAAAAAAAAAAACAAAAGAACAAGAAGAAAGAAAATTTGAATATAATACTCTACTCTCTCTCTCTCTTTATCCTATCGTCCCATGTAATTTGTCTTTAAAAAAATATTCACTTTAATTATATTTTAAATTTCACAATTATAATTATTTTAATCTTAATTAAAATATTTAATTATTTTAATACTAATTTATAATTATTTTAATTATACAATAATTATTTTTATTAATACATTTTTTAATTATTTATTAGTTATATTTTAGTTAAATTTATGTATCTACGCTTAATATGAACAAAATATATGGGATAGAAAGAATACTTTCTATGGGAGAAATTTTTATAAATAGTCTAAATTATTATTATTATTATTATGAATAGTCTAATTTTTTATAAATAGTCTAAATTATTATTATTATTATTATTAGTCTAAATTTTTATAATTAGTCTAAATTATTGCTCCACTAACTAGTGTGTATCGTTTACTTATTAGTTAGGCCTTGCGGCATTCTGGACAGAAGTCCACCTGGGCGTTTATTACAACACCAAAAAAAAAATATATATATATATATATATATAATGATTTAATTAATCGACTATTGTTAGTCATAGCCACAAGGCTGTAGTGCAAATTCACATTATTAAAAAAAATATATATATCTTGTTATTAAATTATTTCCTTCTTACAAAGATTAATGAGTGAGTTTGTTTTTATTTTGAAAACCTAATTTTTTGAAAAATTATAATACAATGTTTCAGAAGAACTTATTTACATTTATTTTATTTATTTTTTATTTGTCGTTAAAAATTATTATTTATTTTATATACATATAAATATATTTGTATTGCATTAGTTTATTAATTATTTTAATATATTTTATTTACTATATTATAATTTTTATTTCTATAAATTTTAAAATAATTAAATTTTATTTATAATTAATTCTATTTGCAATATATATATAAATTTGTTAAAACTAAAACATAACATAAAACATAAATAACATTATTTTTATTTTTATTTTTTCTTTCTATTGTATATAAAATAATTTGAAAAAAAAATATATTCTGCGAGTACTTCTTTTACCGATAAAATTAAAAAGTAATTTATTTCTATATTTTATCCTATTAATTATGATTAATTCCTAAATTATTTAAAGCTTTGTTCTCCAAGTGGACTGCATTGAACAGAATGCTCGTGGTCGCCGGCTAACACAATGTAGGGGAGACTAGCCAAGAAGCCTAAACTAGCTATCACCCAGCAGCGGAGTCTAGTCTTCTTAATTTTTCTACGAAGAAATATGCAATTACATTAACTTTTAAAACTAAGAATGACTTTTATTGAAATGAGATATTAATTGATTTGAATTTTTGTTCAAATAATAAGTTGATCGGATATTTTATAAAAGAAAATAATACAATTTTTTTATTAAAAATTGTATAGAGTACTGATTTCAGTTTAAAATTACAAAAGAACAGACACTTAACTTTTTAATTGTATAAATAATTTGATAAAGTTTAAAATTTAATAAATATATTTTACAGGCATTTTTGTTGTTATTTGTTTCATAGGTAATATTTTTATTGATTTATTATTTCAAAATATATTAATTATAGGGCAACTTTCACATATCTCCCTAGTATAAAGCACATAGTTGCATGCTAGTTTTATAGCTAGTATTTGATATTGCGTTCATACAATATTTTTGACATTTTGAAATTATTAAAAAAATTTATGAAGATATCACATTTAATATATTTTTTTATATATACAAAACATTACATTACATGTTATTTTTTCACTATTAATAAAATTTAAGTTTTAAAAAATCTCCAAAAAAAGTCTCTATATAAATGAATCTTAATTCACTGCACAAAAATAATGTAAATCTAACATGAACCCTAAAAGAATAATCAACATTGTCAACAACCATACAATACTATAAAGGTCTAATTAGATCAAACTAGGGTTTTGAAATATATTTCATTTTATACATACTACATTGCTTATCTATTAATTATACATGTCTAGATCTTGTAACCAAAAGAAGTGAATCACGTCATAGCTAAGTGTACATACACATAAAATTAAAGAAAACAAAAACAAAAACAAAAAATATCTCACAAAGTTGAAAATTAAATGCAATACACACAAAAAAAAAAAAAAAAAAAAAGCATATCGATAATATGTATATATGTATTAAGATGAAGAAGAAAAAGAAGTAGTGAGCAATGTATGGGTGTGAGGAATCAGTCGAATAGGCAAACCCTTGGCCGGTATGGGCATCGGGTTCACCACAATCTTCTCATCCGGAATTAACTTTTCCCATCGGAATCTTGTCACGATATGGTGCATGAAAACCAAGATCTCCATCCGAGCGTACTCTTTTCCGGGGCACATTCTTGGCCCTCCCCCGAATGGCACGAACGTGTACGCTCCCGGCCCTGACCCTTCAAATCTCCTCGGATCGAACTTCAATGGATCCGGAAAACAATCCGCATTTCTGTGTGTCGAATTTGCGCTCCAATATATCTGAACATGTAATTATTTGAATTGAAATGAATACTTTCTCTATCTATCAATATTACCACAAATTTTCTTTTATTTTTTTTTATGTTGTCCGATAAATTTATACATATTTATATTCATTTATCGTAGAGCAGAATTTTATTATTCTTACTGTAACAAATAATATTTATTTTGCCTCTATTTTTTTATCTACTTATTAATTTTGTATCATACCATTAATAAATCCTTATAATACTCCTACTTTATTTTTTATTTACTTTATTTTTACATTAAAATACTATTATTTTTAATTTATGTGTTAAAATAAGAGGACATAATTTTATCGAACAAAGGAATTATATTATTAGAATATGGATGAATATATGATATTATATAGTAATATATGGCAGGAGTGAACGTGGTCATTGTTCAATGGTGGAATGCCCACCAGTGATTTTATTCCGATAAAAGAATGCTTTATCAATTAATAATTGTTCTATAAATAAAAAGTTTTATACCCCAATTTTTATTTGAAATGTCACCCTTATTCAATTAATAGTGTCTTATTTAAAATTTAAAATATTACAATTATTAATTAATTAAAGTTCAATTCAATTAAAAACGTTACATAAACAAAAAATTATTATACTATATTATTAATTTTTTTCTAGTATCATTAATTATACATTTCTATTTCTATTAACATTAGTATTTTATGTTATTATATCAAGTCTTTTAATTTATTTTATTTTTAAATTTACAAGTTGCAACGTATGATACGTAAATACGTACCTTCCAACCCTTAGGGATGGAGAAACCGTTGTAGGTGAAATCGGAAAGAGCTTCTCGGAAAGCGCCCTGAAGAGGAGGGGCGAGTCTCAGCACTTCACATGCTACGTTCCACGAGTACTTCATTTTTTGAATGTCCTCCCAGTTCAGCGTCTCTCCGGCCCTCTTCGATCTCGCAATTTCCATTTGCTCTGAGATATATATATCATCAATAATCAATTCTTTCATTTATTAATTTGCAATTTTAACTATTGCCTTCGTACAGTTCTAAGGGTCTCATTTACTTTGTGCGTGTTAATTTTGAATATTAATTATTATATCAAAACATAGTACAAATTAAAAAAAAAAATTGAAAAGATACTTCAATTAGTGTCTTATAATACTAATAGAATGATATTTGTATAAAAAATTATACAAATATAAGAATATTTTTAATGTTAAGTACAATACGCAAAAAGTAAAAATGTGACCCTTAGAGGCACACGGACAAAGTATATATTAAAAATGCAAACCCTAATACAATATATTCGCTAATAAGCGGTAAAGGAGTGATGAAGCCATTTTATAAATTATTTGGGTACTATCTAAATTATAGTATTAGTAGTATACATTTATTTTTGGCGCGAAGTTTAAAAAATAATAGTGTTTTAATTATAGTGAGTAGTTAAAAGTAATGTAATGATATTTTTGCCCTAATTTTTTTTTGTACAAAAGTAAAGATGTGATGTAAATTAAGGGTATTTGTGAAAAAAAAAATGCTATTTAATGAAATGGTTATTTTGTAATTTGACGTTCCAAAATAAAAATATGTATATTTTTTTAACTGGACAGATGGAGTATTTCTTTTTTATTAAAAATTCTATTTAAAACCTATTATAGACTTATTGATTTATACTCAAAAGAAGTTAATTAATGACGCACAAAGAAGGAAATCCTTTACTTATGTAGAGGTAGAACAACTTACTATTAATATTCTATTAAAAGATAATTTTATATTTAAAATCCTAACTTCCAACCAAACCCACACTTATTTACTATTCATTCATCTATCTCGTCTACATAGAGATTTTTGGTAATTTTGAAGTTTTAGGAAATTAAGAATAATAAAAATTTGGTATCTAATGTAATATTCGGGGGTGGCATTTTCTTTTTGTGTCATTATACTTAATATTAAAAATATTCTTATATTTATATTATTTTTTTGTACAAATGTCATTCTATTAATATTATAAGACACTGTATTTTTGTAGTTTTTCTTAATTTGTACTATGTTTTGATATAATAATTAATATTCAAATATCAACACGCAAAAAGTAAATGAGACCCTTAAAGCCGGACGGAGGTAGTATAATATTTAATACTTCCTCTGTCCCAAAACAATAAAGACATTTGGGATTGGCACGTAAATTAAATAATATTATTATTATATTGATAATAAGTGTAAAAGTATTTCTAAAAGTCTAAAATTTCCTTATTTTATGTAATTATTGTAAAAAGTGAAGATAGTTTTATAAAAATGTAGGAAGTTAGTTACCAAAAATGAAAATTTAACTACTCCTTTCGTCATTCAAATATATGTTCACTTTTTTTTTTATTGTCATCAAAAAATATTCTCATTTTATTTTAAGTAAAAAATTATTCCATTTTTTTATTTTTTTTTACTATAAAAAAAAGTATAATTATTACTCACTTTTATTAAAATTTGTGTCAGGTTAAATGAATACTAACTTGCATGACGGATGGAGTATTATTTTGAAACCGATGAAAATGATTAAATAAGATTATTGTTTTTAGAATGAGAAAATATAATATTTTGTCTATATATATATATATATATATTTAATGAGACAGGTATGTCCGTACCCTGATAGACTCCCTCGTAGATGTGCGGAAGCTCAGCGAGATACTTAACCACAAAAGCGCATGCTGAGCTGGCAGTGTCATGCCCCCCAATCAGCAGCCCCAAAATTTTATCAGCAATATCCAATTCATGCATGAATCTCCCACTCTCGTCGCACGTGAGCAGCATATGCGACAATATATCCTGTTTCGCCGTCGTCGCCCCCGCCGTCGTCGCCTTCGCCAAATCAATTTTCCGCTGTTTTATAATCGACACCAGCTCCTTCCTCACAAAATTCGCCGCCTTTATCGCCCGATTGAACGGCGTACCCGGCAAGTCCACCGGAATCGAGATCAGCCCCGCCGCGAGCAAATTGAATGGTTCCGCCAGCCGCGCCACGTGCCGCGGGTCCTCGACGCTAACGAAAATCCTGCACGCCAGCCAGAACGTGTAATTCTTCGCCAACGGGAAAACGACCGCCGTCTCCCTGCCGTCCCACTCGCCGGAAAAGTGCCGCCGCGCGACGTCGTCCATGATCCCGACGTACCGTTGGAGGGCCTCCGGCTTGAGGAAACCCGGGAGCATTTTCCGCATCTTGATCGCCTCTTGCTTCGACGACGACTGCCCCGACGACGCCGGGAACACCTTGTCGACCGACGCTGGCCACCACGCTTGCACGAGCTTGTTCTCGTTCGAGAACAAGAACTTATTTCCCGCCGCGCCGCAAAAAACGGCTGCCGGCTCGCCGAGCAAGTGGGTCCGAAAAACGTGCGACGAGTATTTGGCGATCCGATCGAAAATGAACTTCTCCGGGTGGCCTTTCCACCCGGTCGAGAGAAATTCGAGGCTCTCGCCGACGACCGGCCACCCCGTCCGGCCGGGCGGGAGCGGGATTCCGGCGGCGGCGGCGCCGCCGCCGCCACCGGAGTTTTTATTTTTGTAGAACAGGAAATGAAGAAAGAGGATAATGGAGATGGTGAAGGAGGAGAGGAGGGAGACGTAGAAGAAGTCCATTTGGAATATGTCTATTATTGAGGGCGAAATTAAAGGCGTTTAGGAAAAAGTGCTCTTTATGTGAATGTATGTGTAAGGGCAATTGTTAGGCATATTTATAGGCACACAATAACATAGTGAATTATTAAATAATTGAGATAGAGATATATATATAGAGAGAGAGAGAAGAGAGAGAGAAGTCCACTTGGGGCAGCATTATTTCACTTTATTTGGTAGGGAATTAGAGAATGAATTATGTAGTCTGAAACTTAATAATATTTGTATTGGGAGTTTTGAATTTGATAAATTAATTTTGGAAAGCATATTGTGTGCTGATCCGATCGAATCAGCATAATGCTAATTTGATCTATGTCATGTAGATGATCAACATATATATATATCTTAGTAATTGTTGTAGCATCAGATAATATATATTAAGTTATAATAGACAAAATTGTCGATAATTCGTTTGTGTTGTGAAATTCAACATAAATATCTCTTTTACTTTAAAAATTGCATAGCATTCATTTCATTATACTTTAATAAATATTTAATGAAAATCTTCTATAGTTTCGAAACTTAGCGTAAATCTCCACTGTACTTTAAAAATTGCATGACGTCTTCTTATACTTTAAAAAATATTGCATTAAGTCCCTCGTCATGCAAAACATATAAATAGAAAATCATCTTCTCATCACACAAGAAAAGTTTCACGATTGTCAGATTTTATACAAACGTTTTTAAAAGAATATAATGCAATTTTTTAAATATAAAAATATTTTATGCTAAATTTTTGAAAAATTATAAACAATTTTACTATTGTAATATAATATATATTATATTATAAATATAAGTTGATCGCTCCTATAATATATATTGATTTGATCGTACCACTACTACGCTGAATTAACCACGCCACATTCCCACTAGGATCAAAGGGTTTTATAAATAAATAATTAATTAATTCAAAAGCATATACGTGTGGACGAAAGTGATTCACACAGCATGATTATTACCTTGTTGGAACGTGTACTTGGGATCCAGTTATTGCATTATTTTGAATTATGACAATTAATTTACGGTCAGTTTAGCTGTTTGTTTTGGAAATTGGATTGAAATAAATGTTTTTTTTTTCTTTTTTTACTGTAATTGAGTTATAATATAATACTAAATATTTAATTGAATTTAAGAAAAACATTATAGGTAAATTTCAATTGAAAAAATAAATAAATAAATTTGAAAGCAGTGTGCTAACCATTAATCCATAGAATATTTCATATTCTTCGATTTAACTACATGCACGTACATATAATATACCTGGAAACAAAACATCACGAAAATATTATTTTCCTAAGCGTCGAGAATAATTTTTCTAGCAGGAAAAACAAGCCAATTATTATTATTATTATTATTATTATTATTATTATTATTATTATTTAGTGTTAGAAAATTAAAGTTTTAAGTATTTATATAAGTTTGCCCTCATTCATGAAAATTCATCCGTAGGTGGATCCAATTGGGTGTGTTTATCTTTTATTGGTTTGGAAGAAAATTTGATTTGAATTTGATATTAAAATAATGTTTGGTTAAATATTTTGTAAAAAAAATATATATTTTTTTTTTCGAGAAAACAGAGAGTCCAAATAATAAAAAATCGGAGCTTTGGGTAAAAAAAAAACAGACTATATTTGTACTTGTTCTTTTGTCCATGTTACTGTAGTTACGAGAATTAGGTAAAATATAATTAATAACTAATTAAAAAATATATTAATATAACAAAATAGAAAATATGAACATTTCTCATTTCAAAGTATCTTTTTACCATTTTCGTGCGTCTCATTTCAAAGTATTTCTTTTTATTTTTTTTTTAGTAAAAGTAATCATACACTAATACCAAAATACTCTTAGCCTTTATTTAAATTACAAATATATCATTACATATACACTCAGTTTTTATGTAAAGTCAAATGACAAAAATATCAAATCTTTTTAAATATTTTCCCTAACTAATAAAATATTAATATTATTTCTTAATTTACTACAAAAACCCTAAAAAGTCCCTTTCAAAAAGGACGGAGAGGGTATATATAAGAAATAAATTTTAACCCTAATATTTAGAGTTGTTGTCTTTTATCTTTCTTCTATCTTTCATATAAATAAATATATATGTATATATATCGTCTTCTTTTCTATCATTGTGTTTGATGTACAAGTATTAATCGAAAAAAATAGATGGAATTATATTCGAATGATTTCAACTCAAATGAAAAATGTGAATTGAAAAACCAACGTAAGATGTTCATTACATTTGGTAAATTATCTCCACTTTTGTCGGGCTTAAATAATTTATAGATTTAACAAAAATAAATAAATAAAATTACTACGAAATGACACATAACTATAGATTAATATATCGACTTATTGAGTTGATATTAATATTATATATTAATTATTTATTTATTAAAAAAATATCATATATATATATACATATTTCAATCTATAAAAGCTAATAAAAATATGAATTAGAGAAGTAATAGACACAAAAATTAGCAGATTTTTTTTTTTTTTTTTCGTAAGTTTCTATTTTATCTTTTTGTTTTTACACTTATCATTTTTTTTATTTTAATATATATGATTTATAGATTTCTTTAAAATAATAATAATAAAAATAACAACTACACATAATTTTGTATAGTTATATTATCTTGTTATTATTAGAAAATTATTATATGTTTTCATGAAAAATATATATAAACATCTTTTATGTGATTTTTATAATTTTTTATTTGATTTAATATAAAAAAAAAAATAGTTCATTTGTAAATTGTTAAAAGATTACTGTGTTTATTTTGTGAAATAATTTAAATTTTTTTTTATATGAAATAGAGAAAATTGTGTAGGTAACATAAAAATAATAAATGTGTTAATTTTTTAAAAAAACATGTATGAAAAGTGGATATTTAACATAAAAAAAATACAGCTTATTGACAAAAGTATTGAATTTGTAAGAAAAAAATATTATACTAATGAATTTGTAAATATTGTCTATTATAAATATATTGTAATATTATGACTCATCATATATAATGAGTCATATTAATAGGTGTCTTTGTTCATATAATTATAAGCATGCAATTTGCCATGTAATATGACAAATGTAATAGGCCATTATCTAAATCAATTTAGATCATCAATAAATATTTTCATATTCTGTCTTAAATAATACTCTCCGGCCGCAATACTAGCCCATATGAGTTTGGGATTGAGATTAAGAAAAATAAATATTTTATCGAGAAAATAAAAAAGATAAAAAGATAGTTGGACGGTATTTTTTTAAATTTAGTTAGTAATTAAAAAGAATGAAGAGATATAATGGAATAAAGTTAGTGATATTTTTTCTAAATAAGTATTAAATAAAATATAATAATTAAATATTAATTTTTTCAATTTTTTAAGTATCTTAATGAGATAAATTTAACATATGAGCGAGGCGAGTAATATAAACGCACACGTTGTATATATATATATATATATATTAGTATACATATATCATCCAATAAGTATTGTTCACTTAGATATATAGATATATGTTTATATATTTTATAATAATTATTATATTATATATTTTATAATTTAATACTATATAATATTATACTAAATATCATTTATTTATTTACTTTTATAGTTGATCAATTACAACATAAATAGATTTAGATTTGAATATTCGTGTTACGCCCAAATAATAATAATAATAAAAATAATAGGATTTTAAAGAAAGTTAGGACACGAAGTCGGGCGGAAAAGAAGAAAATATGCACTCAGGTCGGTTGGTCCGCAGTCGGTTGATCCGGTCGATTGGTCCGCAGTCGGATAAGCAGGTCGGTTGGTCCTCGGTCGGATAGGCAGGTCGGAAGGTCCGCGGTCAGATAGGCAGGTCGGAAGCAGGTCGGATGGTCTGCAGTTGGATGAGATGGTTTGCAGTCGGTTGATTAGTGGTCGGTTGGTCCGCCATCGGTTGAGTCGGCCAATACGGAGTTTGGACCAAGCGAAAAAGGTCTGTTAATTAGTCGCCTAATTAAGTGAACAGTAGTTCAGTCGCTTGGTTGGGGCGACCATTGAATCGTCTGGAAAGACCAGAGGGTGGTCGCTTGATGAGGCGACCAAGGAATCATTTGGTCTAGCGATCAATTAGTCTCTGGATTGGTCGGTTGGGTTATGCAGTTGGCAAGATGGTTGCCGTAACTGACTAGACGACGTTTCAAAACGTTTTGTTGTGGGCAGTTGACGGCGGTTGCTGGCGACGGTTCCGAAAAACGTCTCTTCTGAGGAATATTTAAGGATTGGGGTCAGCAACTGGCAGATCATCTTCAATAATTTTTAAATGACAGCAAAGTCAGTGATTCGGGGATCATCATTTAAATTTTCAGTCTTTTATTTCCGGTTTATTTTCTGTACCATACAGTGTTTAGAGATTCCTAATCTCAGGCACTAAACATATCAAATTCGAAGATAATTTTCTTTTTTCGGATTTTACTTTTTATTGTTGAAAAAATACATCAACAATTCGTATAGAAGTTGATTAAACATATTTGCATTACGAGATCAAAGTTTGAGTTGAAATGAATGAGACAAGTTAAATGTCATTTGTAGAGATGAAAAATAAGTATTTTTCGGATTAAACTATACCAAATAAAACAACTGCTTTTATTTTATACTTGAAACTCAATACAAAATATTTTTGAGTTAACAAAGAAAAGATTGTGTATAACAAAATGAAGTCATGATTTTAATAGGAATATAGTACAATTATTGTTGTGTAAGTGAAAAAAATAACAAATTTTCGATAGAAAAAGTGGTCAACTACAAAAAAGAAAAATAAACTTTTGATGTTAATGTGATTATAAATTAAAAATTTCTTACAGCGAGTAAAAAAACTTCGAAAATAACATTTTTTATTGTGAACACAACCATAAATTGTATATCCCCTTGATGAATCATATTTATCGATGTCTCACCATAGATTAAGTGAAGAACATAGAATAGTCTATAGTGCATTGTGAATGCTAGT